GGCCTGTGAGATATTCGAAGCCCTGCGCCTGGCAGAACTGAAAATGAGGAAGAACAAAGAAGGGGCGACAGGGAAGATAGCAGATGGAAAAGAGAGGAACAGGAAGATAGATGTTAATGTAATGAAAGTACCTCCTTTTCTTCATAATGGTTGAAACATAAAGACAAAAAGTACCTTATAAAAAGCCTCCTCAAAGACCAAAAGTGGTCCAGAGAAGCCAATGATGAGCAAAGGCTGTCCTGCTAGCAGGGAGAACAGCACTCCCACTGTCGCCGTGGAGATGATGAGCTCAGAGACTCCCATCATGCCTTGTGTCTTCTCACCTAAATAAATGAGAACATAAAGTATGAAAATATACTATGGATGCTCATTTCAGTCACCTACGAAAAAAAAATCATGCTTTGGTAAATCATAATCATGACAGAAATAGTGGAAATAGTCATACTTCTAAGAACTAAAATCACTAAATTTATAATTATGACTTTTTATGTCATGAAAATAAGAGAAATTATTAAAAAACAAAATTATGAGAACAAATTTGTCAATTATAGCAAGTCAAAATTATGACAAAAAATTATTATGAGATTAGCCACTTATAACAAAGTCAGAGTTACAATTTAAAAGGGACTAAATATTATGAGAAGTCAAAATTATGAAAAAAGTAAAGCTCATCATGACATTTTATTTCATAATTATGAAATAAAATGTCAAATTATGACACTAAGTCCTTTAGCTTTTCAAAATTATAACAAAAACATCCTAAGTATGAGATAAAAAGTAACAACTGACAAGCCAATTCATATTTATGATATAAAAAGTCAAAATTATGACATACTCCCCCGGTTTCACAGACAAGGCTTAAACCTATTCCCAGACTGACAGTTTCAACTGAAAGAAACTTGCACTGACTGATCTTAAAATATATCAGTGCCTTTGTTTTGTCTCAAAATGCACACCAGTAATGTTTTTCTAAGCACGTTTATAAAAATTACTTAAATGTCGTAATTGAACTATGGCCTAATCCTGGCTTAGTCTAAACCCTGTCTATGAAACCGGGCCACTATGTTATAATTATGAACCTTTATCTCATAATGACTTTGTCAATTTCGACTTTTTATAAATGTTATAATTTCAACTTTTTACGTCATAATTCTGACTTTTTATTATTATGATTTACCAAAGCATGCTTTTTTTCTAATGTGGTGGAATGGGCTTGTATATTAAACAGACTCCACTATCAAAGATAACTGTCTCATTGTCTCACTTGCCTAATAAACCTCCAAAGGTGATAGTGGGCGAAAGAGCAGCAAAATAAATGAAAATGACAGCAGCAATACATTGTGTGTCCATGGCATCCTTCAGGTCGCTTATGTAGCGTGGATAACGGCGGCGAATATCGTGAATCAGACCTCCAAAGGGAATACCAGAGCGCTTGAGAGGATCAACATCAAACTGATCCTCCTCCTCCTGTTCATCCGTACTTACATCTACAACACAAACAGAACAGGTCAACATTAAACGAACAGACAAACTTGAAAATGTGACCACAAATGCAGTAGGTATTCCACCTTTGGTCTCCTGCTCAGCTCCTGTCACAATACTGCCGCATTTCTTGAGCTCCCTCTCCTTGCGCTTACGTAGCATCTGTTTCTGGAAGGAGGCCACGGTCTTCAGCAGGTCTTTTCCCTCAACGTCTGAGGGTGGAATAACAATACTGCAGTCTAAGAACTCGTTGATGCCATTAAGCAGGTCCTGTCGATCATCAGCAAAGTACGCTACCTCATGGAAGTTCTGTGGAAGGTCAGAAAAACAGTGAACCTGAGTGGTTTAAGTCACTAGTCAATTTATCATTTTAACAACTTTTGACCAGTAGGTTGCAGTCCTGGAACTTCTCATCATATCAATATTCAACAGCTAAGCCAAGACAAAGTCTTCCTTCCTATTTTTTAGCACGGTCATCAAATTTGTAGAATGGGGTTGAAAATAAAACTTGGTCTGAAGACTTGGTCTAAAGATCATCTGAACTCATTATGTCCAATCTTCTCAAAAATGTACATATTAAATTCAATTAAATTCAAGTAAGGTTATAAGTTGAAATTTGACAACTTAGAATGGAATAATATAAGCAAACCAGAATCATAATTTTGGTCATTGTGAAGTAACTTCTTTTTTTTTTCATAAAACTGATTAAAAGCTCTTTTAGTATATAATGCCACTGATACCCACAAAGTTTTGTTTCAGTTTGCCAAATTAGAGAAATACATGTACATTTTACTTTGCGGCTTTGCCATAAAATTCCTTACAGATTTATTGGAGAATGGGAAAGAAGATAAAAAAATCCATTCAGTGACCTTTGTGTGGTTTGGTCCGGAGATCATCTGACCCAACTTTGACGATTGGGCAAAATTTGCAGAAGTACCAATGAAAAACAATTTTCAATCAAATTCAAAATGGTGGACAGGTAATAAGGCAAAACGTGACTTAAAACTGACTCCAAACCAGAAGTGTAATTTCAAGCCAAGGCATTTGGATTTAATTTTTTATGTAATGAAACAAGAACTACGCACTCTTAGGACATGATGGCACTGATACTCTAGTTTTCCCCCCAAAGCCCAGGGTGCTCATTTCTGTTCCTGGAGAACCTAAATAACTGGTTTAGGTGTGTTTGGAGAACTTTGCAGGAAGGTAGATCTAAAGGAACAGGAATGAGCACCTCTGGCCTAAGCACTGCAGAGATATATATCGTCCATTCCTGTTGGCCAGTCCCACCACAATTCATTACAGGTTCACAGAACAATGAGAAAAAAAATCCATTCTGAGATTGTGTGGCTTGGTCTCAAGATCATCTGTCACTATTCTGGAGAAGATTGGATAAAATTTATAGGTGTTAGTGAAAATATTATTTGTTAAAATCCAAAATGGCAAAAGATCTAGTCTGAACTGAACACCATGACCCAGTGAATCATAAGAAAAAGCAAAAACAAAAATACAATGTTGAGCCATTTTTGGCACTGTAACAGTGGTTCGCAACCAGTGAG